GGAGAGGGAGACAGAGGGAGTCTCCAGTCTTCTGTCTACAGTATATGTAAATAGTTTATGATATGTCCTTGTTGTAAATGTCTGTAGATTTTATTTTACTTTTATTTTTGTTTTGTTTCATGTGAATTTCATTATTTTCATTTGCTTTGCAACACTGATTGTCCCCATCGGTCATGCTGATAAAGCCTCTTGAATTGAACTGAGAGGGCAGAGGGAGAGAGGGAGGAGGAGAGAAAAAGAGGGAGAGGGAGAGAGAGACAGAGATGGAGGAGGAGAGAGAGAGGGAGAGGGGGAAAGGGAGAGAGAGACAGGTACAGGGAGAAAGAGAGACAGGAGACAGAGGGAGAGAGAGAGACAGAGATGGAGGAGGGGAGAGAGACAGAGTGTGAGGGAGAAAGGGAGAGAGAGAGAGACACAGAGGGAGAGTAAGTTGACAGAGAGACAGAAGTAGAGTGAGGGAGAGAAGGAGGGAGAGAGACAGACAGAGGGAAAGAGAGACAGGCTGGGAAAGAGAGAAAAAGTAAGAGGGGCAGAGAGAGAGAGAAGAAGACTGACAGAGGGAGAGAGAGACACCCTGACACCCCAAAATAAACCTCCTTCCAAAATAAATCTGCTCAGGCACACAGTGTGTGGAGTTAAAATCATAGCGGAAACATTTGCATTTCTGCTTCATCAGTACAATCAGATCAGGAGCCCTGCAGCTGGTGTAAAACCCGGAGTGGAGCAGTGGCCGGGACTCGAGCAGGCTGCTGTGCACTGGGAGTCTGTCTGGCAACAGTGTAAAACCTGGAGTGGATCAGCCGGCAGCGCATCGGGAGCCTGGGCTGTAGCCTCTGGAAGTTCTGGCGCACACACACACGTGCGCTCACACACTCTCACACCTCCCTCCTCCCCCAGCCGGAGACAGGGAAACCGCAGGGAAATCACACGAAACTTGTTAGCGCAGCGTGCAGCTCCTGCTGTTCTGTCCTGAACCCCAGAGAGCAGAGGGGGTGCGAGTGATTGATGATCTGGGGCTCCACACATGTGCAGCGGGGGGGGGCTGTCCCTCGACTGTGCTCCCCGCCTGTGTGTTGTGCACACACACACACCAACATGCACATACACACGCACACGCACACTAATGCACATACACACACGCACACAAATGTACATACACACCAACATGCACATACACACACACACACAAATGCACACACCCACAGTCACGCGGATGGGGGGCTGCGGGGACAGTGAGTCCTGGGGGTTGTCATGACATCCTCACGTAAAGGGTCAGTGTGTCTGTCAGTGTGCAGTGTGTCGTGTGTCAGTGTGTCTGTCAGTGTGTGGTCTGTCAGTGTGCAGTTTGTCAGTGTGTCAGACAGTGCCCAGTGTGCAGCGTGTCAGTGTGTCAGTCAGTGCTCAGTGTGGAGTGTGTAGTGTATGAGTCAGTGCTCAGTGTGTGGCTGCAGGTTGTCAGTTTGTAGTGTGTCAGTCAGTGTGTAGTGTGCAGTGTGCAGTGTGCAGTGTGTCAGTCAGTCTCAGTGTGCAGTGTGCAGTGTGTCAGTCAGTGCTCAGTGTGCAGTGTGCAGTGTGCAGTGTGTCAGTCAGTCTCAGTGTGCAGTGTGCAG